CCCTCTAGCAGTTTCTCACCCATACCAGCTGCTTGGGCTTATATTTCCCTCAAATATACTTTGTTTGGAGATCTTTGGGGTAAGGTAGACGCTTGCTATGATTTGGTTTAAATGACAGTTTTCCTACCCTTACCTAAATTCATCCTTCAGTACTGATTTTGCAGGAGGCAGAATGGCACATTGCCTCTCATCAGTCTGATTTCTTTAAATGCTTGAGTAAAAAACACAGTGTAAAGTCGGGTGTATATTCTTCAGTCATATTCCAGCAAACCTGAGTGGGCAGTGGCTGCTACTTCCCTTACAGGCATCTTGCTGTGAGAATTACTGTCTGCTTTTTAAAGCATAGTAAAGGCAATGCTGTGGGACAGCTAAACCTGATTGTAGCTACTACTGTGAGCATTTTATAGAAGAATTTGTATGATACTGTAGTTAATAATGGACAAGATAGCTCTATTGTTCAAATAGAAAAATAAAGATTGACTTTTTCAATTAGTATTCTGATTTTCTACAACTGTTCCAGATTCCTTAATCCCATTTTCATGAGATTTTGTCACCTGTTTTTTTTTTTTTAAATTACTACTCTTTGCCAGATGACATTTTGCCACATACTCTCCTTGAAATGGAGGGAGCGGATGTTCCTTAGCAGAACACATCTGACCTTTTTTCATCCATTCCTGCAAGCTCCTTTATTATAAAACTGACATGCTGTCTTTGCTGCTTGTAAGGACATCATCTTTGTATGGAAATAGTTATAATGCACAGTAAATAAATGTTGATGTATAAGTTACTTGCTTACAAATAGGTGCGTATAATGCTGAGCAGCTCTTTAACCCTCACCACATTGCAAGGAGCCCTGCTTGGTTTGTTTCATGCTCTGAGCATCTTCCTGAGGTAGTGAGATAAGAGCTAACAGGGCCTTGTCGTGCCTGGTTTCAGGGATTCGTGCTTCAGCTCCTGATGTCTCCTGTAAGTGTTGATCATCTGTCTTAAAGTGAATGTTCTCCATCATTCAACTTCGCTTTCCTGCCTATGGTTGTGACTGCTGAACTTTGAAAACAGAACATCGAAATGATGGTGTGCATAATCTATGAAGAAAATAAATCACTTTTCTAAGATTAAGGTTACTAATACTTCTTTATGACAGAGAAGTTATTGCAGCTCCAAAGCTAAAATATTTATGAAGCTCTCAGTTTATTTCTTGGTCAGAGAGAGAATCCATGAACTGTGAGTGGCACGGAGAAGAACACCACTGCATTTTATTAATGGTGTGAAATGTGTACCCACTGCAGGTGCCCTCACCTCTCCAGTAGATCTTTGTCCACGGGATACAGTCGTGGTGTTTACCCGTGTGTGTGTGCTCCGTTGTGCCAATTATTTTTCAGTAATGTATGTTATGTGTAGCACAGTTAAGCAAACACAAAAAATAACATCTGTACAATAAGAAACAGTAATTACTTTTTTGATATAAATCAGTTACTTCAGACAGCTTTTTATTACTAAAAGCTTTGTAAGAAAACAACTACGAACACCTGACTCCTTGGGCGCTGAGGCCGCCTCCAGCCGCGCTTCCGCACGCTCCGGGTCCCCTGCGGGCGGGGCGGGGGCCCGGCCCGGCCCGGCCCGGCGGGGCGGGAGCGCGGAGGTCGCGGCGGCCGCGGGAAGCGGTTCCGGGTCGCCATCGGGAGCCGACATGGAGCCCGTGGGGCCGCAGGGGCCGCGCTGAGGGAGCGCCGGGCCGAGCGGGGCCGCCGTCGCCATGTCGTTGGGCGAGTACGAGCGGCACTGCGACTCCATCAGCTCCGACTTCGGCAGCGAGTCCTCGGGCAGGGGCGGCTCCCGCGGCGGCGGCGGCTTGCCCGGCGAGCAGGAGGAGCTGCACTACATCCCCATCCGCACCCTGGGCCGCGGCGCCTTCGGCGAGGCCACCCTGTACCGCCGCACCGAGGTAGGTGGGCTGCCCCGGCGGCGGGAGAGGGGTCCCGCTCCGCCGCCCCTGCGAAGGGGCCCGGGGCCGCTGTCAGGGCGAGCGGGGCGGTCGCCAGAGTCCGGTGCTTGGAGGCCGCGGTGCCCGAGGAACCGCAGCGAGGCTCGGCCCCTGGGGTGACCGACAGGCCCCTGGGTGACACCGACAGCCGCCTGGGGTGACCGGCAGCCCTCACGGTGACAGCTCCCGACGCCGCTCTGGGAACACCCCGGGTTCGAAGTGGCAGCTTCAGCCCTCGGTGTCCAGGGGCACAGGGTCTGGGGTTTGGCGCGTTTGAGCACTGTCAGTCTCTCGGTCCCCTGAAGTTTCACAGGGAGATGTGGAGACTCTTCTGATGCTAATATACTCCTCATTTTTCTGTGTTTTGTTCCAGTCACAGAAAACGTGGGGGCATCTCATACAGGTAACTCTCCCACGTGCTCAGTGTTTCAGCATAATCAGGGGAGACAGGCTGAAAAGCCAGTCCTCCTGTTGCTCCCAAGTGGTTTGATCCCATCCAGTTTCAATTGTAGTTGAGGTTTTTAGCGGCTGTCAAAGAAAAGCGCTTGACTTAGTTGCCAAGGGAAGTTTTTTTTTTTTTCTGGCCGCCCTGAGGCGTCATGGCTTGGGCAGTTCTAAGTGAAAGCTGTTCACTTAACAGATCACTCATAGCATGCCTGACAATGTGGGTGGGCCTAACAGGGGCAAACTAAATTTATTCTTGTTTCCTTGTTTTTTTTCTTTAGGCTTTTTTTTTTTGTAGTATTTGTGACAGCTTATGGTCTTGTACAATATCCTGCAGTTATAAGGTTGGAAATACACTGTTCTCCCTTTATTGAACTGGAGTATGTTTAGCTTTTATTGAAATAAAACTCTGTGTCTTTCCCTTGGTTTGGTGTTTTGTTTTTGTTTATTCCCCCCCCCCAGTGAGTGTTGGCCATCTAGAAAGATGGCTTCAGGCCATCGGTATTTCTAATGACAAACAGCAAACCTCAAAACTTATGTTGTGAAGAATATTTGTCTGAAATCTGTAAGAGACAAGAAAGTCTTTTACCTTCCCTGAAATTTTAATTTCCTACTATAAAGGCACATACTGTTGTCTTCAGAGCAGTGTGTTTTTAATTAAAAGATGTTTTTGTGTTTCAGGATGACTCACTTGTAGTGTGGAAAGAAGTGGACCTGACCCGGCTGTCAGAAAAGGAACGTCGTGATGCTTTGAACGAAATCGTTATCCTTGCCCTCTTGCAGCATGAGAACATCATCGCATACTACAATCACTTCATGGATAACACCACGCTGCTGATTGAGCTGGAGTACTGTAATGGTGAGATCCCTGCTCCCATTTACAAAGAGGCACCTGCCACATTTCTGGGTCGCCTTCCTGTAGAACTTGCAGGGAGTATCCCTGGGGGTATCTGGGGAGCAGAGGAGTGGAGGTGAATTCTGCTGTGTACTTCCTTAAAAAGAGATTGAGAACGCTGTTGATTTGTGTCTCAGGTGCCAAAAAAAGAAATCCAGTAGTTAGTGCAGTCAGTTCAGGCAGCAAATGATTTCCTGAGTCTTCTGAATGGCTGATGTAGTGGAAGAAGTGGGATATTGGTAATGTACACTTTGGTGCACCTCGCTATGCTGTTTTGGGTGGGCAGTGGGAAAAGACCATGAGAATAATTGAGCCTCTCAGCTGGTACAGAGCAGGACTGTTTTTTGCAGTCACTTTTTTGTGTCACTTAAATAGGTTTATAATTAATCTTAATTATCTCCTGTCACACTGCAATCAGGACTTTTCCTGTCTTCTGCTTTCAGCTTCGACATTTACTATTAAAACAAGACAAAAAAACAGCAATAAACTGGGTCCTTCTGGTGGTGGCGAAAATTTTAAAATTCCATCCAAAACCAGTTCAAGTGGTGGTGTTTGGAGTTTGCAGGGGAAACAGTCCCAGCTGGGAGAGAGTGATAGAAGGGTTTGGTATGAGGTTCTGACTAGCAGCCGCTGTTAGGCAGCAGGAAGAGGAGGTCATATACAGGTAATACTGCTGGAACAGAATACCTGTCTAGAACTGCAGTGTGGTTCCTATTTGGATGAGTAAGCTCCCCTAGCGAAGTGTCCAGTGTATGTATAGGGCTTACATTGTTTTGGCTCATCAGCAGAACCTGTTTTTGCTGGAAAAGTCTATCATCTTGTTATTGCCTTAGATTGTCTTCACTGGAACAGGTTGGGGAACACAAGAGTTGTGCAAAGTCTTTTTGAAGGGTGTTAAACACCCTGGTTGGCAGGTTGGCTAAAGCTGGTTTTGCTTCTCTGCTTTTTGTTCTTATGCAGGGTGGAGTCCAGTGCAAGAGTAGGGGAGTCTTAGCTCTTTGAGGCACCTCTTATTTTAGGGGTACTCTCTCTATGTGAGTTACTTATCTGCCCTGAAAAGACTGCATGCTTGGGGCCATTATAAATTTGTTGGAAGGGACAGAGAGAAGCTGGTTAGGACCGATGTCTGTGCACATTTTGGTTAATGCTCTAAGCTGTTTTACTTCAGGATAATAACCAAGAGATGAGTATACAGCCTTCGTTGCCTTAAGGTACCGAACAAGGGACATGAGAAAGAGGGAATCTTAGTTGGACTTATGCATAATGGTTCTGCCAGTACATTAATAGTTGTCTCTGTGACCTCTTTTACAGTGTACAAGCCCAAGATAATTTGTGAGTAATTTTTAAAGTAAGGGTAGACTAGTCACTGTCAGACACTTCTCAGAATCCAAAGATTTTACTGTTTAGCTTGCACATCTCTTCTGAAGATCTAGAAAATAGTTTCAAATTTGAGTAAATGTTGCCCCCATTTTACAGAGCAGGAAGCCAAGTTATTGATTTATTTGCCTTTAGTTCCATGTGTATCATGGTACCATAACACTTGGATTTACCATGGGACAACATCAGTGAATACATCTGAAATAGATTTGGGAAGAAATATCCTATAAAATACATTCGTTGAAGAGAGAATAACATATGTCAGAATGTTAGATGTGATTAGATAAAACAAATAGTAAATTAGTTTGATTTTTGTATATGTGTATTGATTATATGAGTCAGGAGCTAACTTGACTCCTTGTGTAGGATTTTGGCAATGTCATACCTATCGTGATGCTCTTTGGTTCAGAAAAGCTGTAAAAAAAGATGGGAAAAAATGAGAGATGAGGAACAGAATTGACTAAAAGCCTGCATAGTCTGAATCACTAGGAAAGAGGTTCATAAGAAGAGGCAGACGTGAATATTTTGGTTAAATTATGAATGTGAAGAGTGATTTGTAGATAGTTTGCAAATGTGAACATAGGGCAGAAAAAAGAAATGTTGAGAAGTTATAGCAAAGCTGAATGAGAAGAAATTAAGTGAAGGGAATCTTAATTAGGAACATTTTCCTAACAGGAAAGTCTGAAATAAGTTCCTCAAGGAGGCAAAGGAGCCATTGTGATCTGCTTTGGCCAGGGAGCACTTGACAGGCCCATGGAAATCATACAGCCAAAAGCTGTCTTGCATCATACCTGTGGGAATGGGGAAGGTCCTGGTGATCTGTTATTGTTAGGACATAATATATGATAATTGGGAACTGGAATAGCAACAGGATGTGATCAGAGATTTGGGATTTACTGTTTGGATGCTGATCTGACAGTCTCACTACCTGCAGCCCTCAGCATTGTTTCTTTTAGCTGTCCTTGATTTTCAGTCTGCCGTCTTGAAATTATGAGGTGCTCTGAAGATTCTTTGGTGGTGCTGCTGTTGTCAGTGCTTTGTGAATTCTGCATCCATGTATTTGGCAGGGCAGATGAAAGAGAGGCAGGTCAGAGCTGGACAGTAAGTCGGGAAAGGCAGTAAATAGTGCTTTCAGGGACTACTCTGACCTTAAAATTGCTTTATTTCTCTTTTCTTATTTATTTATATATAATGCTGAGGAGGACCATCTCACATGATTTGTTGTACAGGTTGTACATGCTTACATACCCCAAGAAGCACTTACAGGTAAAAAAGTAGGGACTACTAGCCTAGCTTACTGATTTTCTTTTCAGAGTATAAATGGTGGTGTTAAAGAATCATCTCTGCTTAAGCTTAAATACGCCAGTGAAGTTCTTAGGTGGAAGAACTTAATTTTGTGAGTACCGGTCCAGTTTAAGTGAAGAGTGCTGAGAGAGAGCTGTAGTGGTTGATCAAATCTCTTAGGGGATTTGAGTATTCCCAGCAGCACTTGAGCAAAGTAACTGCTGCCATTAACCTCTCTATCTTTTTCATTAACTTGTAATTACAGGGGGGAACCTCTACGATAAGATTCTGCGACAGAAAGAGAAGTTATTTGAAGAAGAGGTAATTTGGACTGGTTTGAGGGAGCAGTGGGGCTGACCTAATGTTCTAGGCATCTGTGTAGTTATTTGAGTATTTCTACAAAATTTTTTCCAGAATGCTGGTAGGGAATTTCTGTGTTTATCTGGGGGCTGGCACCCTTCCTCTCATGTTCAATATTGCGAGCATTTATGGACTGTCCAAAACTTCTTATTTTCCTTTTTGACTGTCTGTAAGAAGTACATATTTCCAAAGGAGGAATAATGAAAGAGAGCAGGCTTTCATCACCTTAACATCTTGGCAAACATTTAACTTTAAAACCTCTTTCTGTGTTTCTTCCTAATTGGTACTTGATTTCTCTCCCTTCTTAACCATTTTGTAGGTTTTTTTCAGAGTAATTTCCTTGAATCTTTCTTGCTCTTTTCTTTTTCTTTATTTTATTTAAACTTGGTTTTTTGCTGTCTGCTTTCATCACATGCTGAGGTGAATAATGATTACACTTACTTGTTTTATATAGTGACTTTTAAGGCTTTCTGGCTCACGGACAATATTAAATGGTCAGAATTCGTATTTTGGAGAGCACAACTGTAGATGTTTCCCATGTGGTCATTAGTTGTCATTTCCAAGTCTTTTCACTTATTGAATTCTGTGACACTTGTCAAGACAGACACTATGAATGGCAGTAGCACAACTGACCTTTTGGAATATCTTTTCAGAGATTTCCAAAACAGGAAATTCTAAATTTTCATACTCTTGAAAGAGCATCTAAATGGTATGGCCAGACCCTCTTGCTGTGCCTCAGTGTGACAGGTGTGACAGGGACATGTGGGGTTTTGTGGTGGGTTTTTTTGGGTTTTTTTTTTTGAGCCTCACATAATACTTATATTCGTATCTGTGCAGATGGTGGTTTGGTATCTCTTTCAAATTGCATCAGCCGTGAGCTGCATTCATCGAGCAGGAATTCTTCACAGGTAAGTGAAGCAAATGCAGCAAAGCTGAGGTAACCAGTGCGATTCATGGGTGTGAGTGAAGAACTCCTTCGCTTCTATGTTTAAAGCAAGCACTGAGCTTCTCTCCAAAGTGTAGTTGGACTGCCTAGGTGTTAAGTACCACTTCTGTAAAGGAATTTTATTGGGCTAGAAACTGTGTTGTGATAAAGGTGCAGGAAACCTTGTATTTAAAAATGGGGTTGCAGCTTTGTGAATAAAGAGTTTATCCATATAGGAAGGAAGTAAATTTGCCCTTTATTGCTATAACACACAAATGATGTTTGCTAAAGTGGGTAGGAAGGGCAGTTACCACAGGCCAAAGGTACTTCCTACCTGCTTCACAATTAATGGCTTCAAGGCAATATGTACATCCCTCTATAATTCCCGGAGGATAACAGTGATGAAAACTTCATGTTACTGCATTGCTGTAATATAACCATACAAAGATTTGTCCTGCATTTGGCTGAATCTTATTTCTTTGGCATGTTATTTAAGGAAGCAGTCCAGTCTGTTAGCTGGTAGTGGTAATTTTTTTGACAGTGACTCTTGAGATTTTAATGTGTAGCTAATTACCTTTTTTGTTGCCCTTTTGTGTTTGGTAGCAGTAAACTTCATGGCTTATGTGTGCTTCAAGGAGGCTATGATGTTCTGGGCAGTGTCACACATGTAGACAGCCACTTCCAGCACAGCTGGATTGTGTGCTGCACTAAGTTACGGGCATAGGTGTGTGAGGATGTTTTGTGTAGGATAGCATCCTGGTTGCTGCCATTCTGAATCTTTGGTAATTGGCAAGCCTTGCTAATGAAGGATTGGTGTCCTATACTCAGCAAAGTAGCACCTGAGTTTTTGACCTGAAGCAGACGTCATGTCTGTTCTGCTTTGCAGTGATTTCCTGCTTACCACGTCTGGACATGTGTGGCCCTAAATCCTTCCATAATAAGGAATTGCGTTTGCAATAAACGTTTGCAGTGATTTCCTTCTGCTGCAGACATTGTCAGAGTAACCCAGTACTTTGTGATGCCCCAGGTGGATGAATGCAAAGTGCTGCATTACTTGGTGTTATCCTGATTTACACTTGGAAGTTGCTGATGGTACTTTAGGAAAAGAGAGTGTTATGAAGTGTTGGCCATGGGAAGCATGTCATACAGCGAGGGCTTCCTTTCCATTGACAGTCTCTTATATTAATCTGTGAAACTACATATAGATTATTCTGTCAGGGAGAAAGTGTTTTCAATGAATTTTGGAGTTCAGCATTTTTGTGGACAGCAGCCTTTTGGTCTTCTGGGCATAGTATGTCATAGAATCTTGAAATCATTAAGGTTGGAAAAGATCTCAAAGATCATTGAGTCCAACCTTTGACTGAACAGCACCATATCAGCTAAACTACATCACTAAGTGCCATGGCCAGTTGTTTCTTGAACACTTCCAGGGATGGTGACTCCACTACTTCCCTGGACAGGCCATTCCAATGCTTAACAACCCTTTCACTGAAGAAATTCTTCCTGATGTCCAGCCTTAACCTCCTCTGGTGTAGCTTGAGGCCATTTTCTCTTGTCCTGTCGTTAGTTTCCTCTGAGAAGAGGCCAACCCCACCTGGCTACAACCTCCTTTCAGGTAGTTGTAGAGAGCAATAAGGTTTCCCCTGAGCCTTCTCCAGGGTAAACAACTCCAGCTCCCTCAGCTGCTTCTCATCAGACTTACTCTGCAGACCCTTCACCAGCTTTGTTGCCCTTCTCTGGACATGCTCCAGCATTGAGGTCAATGTTTTTCTTATAGTGAGGGGCCCAAAACTGGGCCCAGAACTCGAGGTGTGGTCTCACCAGTGCCAAGTACAGGGGGACAATAATTTCTGTGTCCTGCTGGCCACGCTATTTTTGATACAGGCCAGGATGCCACTGGCCTTCTTGGCCACCTTAGCACACTGTTGGCTCATGTCCGTAGCTGCCTACCAGGTCCTTTTCTGATGGGCAGTTTTCCAACCACTCTTCCCCCAGCCTGGAGCACTGCATGGGGTTGTTGTGACCGAAGTGCATGACCTGGCACTTCACCTTATTGAACCTCATACCACTGGCCTCAGGCCGTGGATCCAGCCTGTCCGGATCCTCCTTGCAGGGTCTCTCCTACCCCCTAGCAGATCAACACTCCCACTCAACTTGGAGTTGTCTGCAAACTGACTGAGGGTACATTCAATCCCCTCATCCAGATCATTGATAAAGATATTAAACAGGACTGGCTGAAATACTGAGCCCTGGGGAACCCCACTATTGACTGGATGTGGCACCATTCACCACCACTATCTGGGCCCAGCCATCCAGCCAGTTTAACCCAGCAAAGAGTGCATCTGTCCAAGCCATGGGCTGCCGGCTTCTCCAGCAGCCTGTTCCTGCACCTCTTAAGATTTCCTTCTTAAAGTATGTCCAGCCTTCCTGGACCCCTTTGTTTTTAAGAGCAGTTTCCCAAGGGACTGTCTGGACCAGTGTCCTGAAAAGGCCAAAGTCTGCCCTCTAGAAGTCCAAGGTAGAGGTTTTGTTTACTCCCTTCCTTACTTCACCAAGAACTGAAAACTCAATCATTTCATGGTTGCTACCCAAGACGGCCTCCAGCCTCTACATCTCCCACTAGCCCTTCTCTGTTTGGAAACAGCAGGCACTGCCCCTGGTAGGCTTGCTTACCAGCTGTGTCAGGAAGTTATCTTCCACACATTCCAGGAACCTCCTGGACTGCCTCCTCTCTGCTGTGTCAGGTTTCCAGCAGACATCCAGCAGGTTAAAGTCTCCCACAAAAATTAGTGATTGTGACGTCAGCCAGCTGCTTATAGAACATCTCATCTGCCTCTTCATCCTGGTTGGGTGGTCTGTAACAGACTCCCACCAGAATGTCTGCCTTGTTGGCCTTCTGATTCTCACCAATAGGCAGTCAACCTTATCACTATCCTTCAGCTCTACAAAGTCAAAACACTCCCTAATGTACAGAGCCACGTCAACACCACACCTCTCTTTCCTCTCGCTTATGAAGAGCTTATAACCATCCACTGCGACACTTCAGTCATGCAACCACATTTCCGCGATGGCAACTGTGCCATAGCTTTCCCGCTGCGCAATGGCTTCCAGCTCCTCCAGTTTGTTATCCAAGCTGTGTGCATTGGTGTAAATGCACTTCAGCTGGGCTATCCATTTCATCCCCAACACTGGCATGCTGCCTCCAGGCTCATCTCTAGCAAGCCTGGTCTTATCTCCTGCTCCCTTCAAACCTAGTTTAAAGCCTTCTTAATCAGCCCTGCCAACTCATGGGCTAGAATCCTATGTCATATTATAAAGCACTGTTCTTGAGGGGTAAGGACGTTATGCTGAAGTTCTAGAGTGGCATCTGTTTCACACCCTCCATGTGTGTGTTTATATTTGCATACATACATATTCATACTTACATTTATGTTTTTAGTGAGCTCGGCGACTTCTGGCTTGGGTCTATTTATAAAACCAGGAAAAATAAGACCTGCTTCATGACCTTCATACAAGAAGAAACTGAGAGGGGGGAAAGAACTATCTTTGATCTGTGGCCTTTACATAGGTTTTGAAGACTGAGCTTTTTAAACTGTGTTGTATTTGTGTGGGAAATGTGATAAAACCTGTATAACTGCAGTTTCTGCCCTGGTATTTGGGGTAAAATTGCCTTTGGAAAACTCTGTGTGTGTGTGTGTGTGTGTGTGTGTGTGTGTGAAGGCAAGTGCTGGCAGAGTAGCAAGTACTTCATTTTGGGGGAAAGGTACAGTAATGTGTGGAAGACTGAACTCTGCAAATATATTTGAGTGTTTGCATTTCTTTTTTCTACTTTCAGAGATATAAAGACATTAAATATCTTTCTAACCAAAGCAAACCTGATTAAATTGGGAGACTATGGGTTGGCAAAGAAGCTGAACTCTGAGTACTCTATGGCTGAGACTGTGAGTATCTGCCTTCTTCACAACACAAATTGAGTTTTGTTTTTCTTTCATCTCTGCATGCCTTGCAGAAGACCAGGGATGCTGTACATTCTTGCTGCTTGCTTTCTCTTATTTTCCTTTCCCTCTCCCCTCAATTTCCCTCAATGTTATAGAATCATAGAATTGTTAAGGTTGGAAGAGACATCTAAGGTCATTGAGTCCAACTGTTAACCCAGCACTGCCATGTTCACCACTAAAACACATCCCCAAGTTCCACATCCACACATTTTTTTTAACACTTCCAGGGACAGTGACTCAGCTGCTTTCTTGTCTTCTTCCAGTACTTGACCACCCTTTCAGTGAAGAAATTTTTCCTAGTATCTTATCTAAACCTCCCCTGGCACAACCTGAGGCCATTTCTTCTTGTCCTGTCACTTACTACCTGGGAAAAGATACTGACCCTCATCTTGCTACAACTTCACTTCCTAACTTTATCTCACTAACATTGGCATATTTGCTGATGTGTTACAAGCTGCAGTTATCCTTGCTCCCAGATTACCTTTTGGAGGTCTGTCTCTCTGCAGAGCAGCAGTAGACTAAAGATAGGTGCCTCTGTGGGCACAGAATGGTGCCAGTATAGCTGTGCTAGAGAGCACTGCCCTGCTTTCCCCTAGGCATGGTACTTCCAAAGGTGAATCTGTTTAATATGAAGGCAGTGCTGGCTGAACATACAGAGACAACAGTGTAGTCACATCAGAACAGTGCACTCCTTCTGGGCTAGTTAAGGCCAGCTTAACAAATAAAATTAGTTTTGTCATGCTGCTGGGCTAACAGGTAAATTTTGCCTCAGGTGGATCTGAAATAGCTTGGATGTGCATGCCTGACATTGCCCTGTTTCATAGGCACATCTCCTATCTCCGTAATATTCAGTCTCTGAACTGAATTGCAAAGAAGCAAAAAAGGCACTTACAGCGCTTGGTATGGTTACCAGGTGTATGGCTTATTGGTAATGCTGCTGGAGGGGGGCAAAGCTTTGTAGGAGAGATTAATTCTACCAGAAGGCTGTCAAGCTTTTCTTTGTTCCAGACCCTACCAGAAAGCATTTTCACAGCCAGAAATGTGACACAGGGTAAGCTGTATTGCAGGCACCTGACAGGCTCAGCTTGGATTTCCCAGCTCCATTAATTTCTGTAGTGAGCGTTAGGCTTGGAAAGGGAGACATTGTCTGGAGCTCCTATCTCCTAAAGACCTTTATTATAGTTTAGGACACAAGCCAACTCACACTTCCCCTTACCAAGCTGTATTATTAGATTTAATGCCAGGTGTTGGTGTTCTGCTAGGATGTGTAGTTAAATATTTGCCAGTCCTCCTTCAGAACATGAGCACTATTTTGCAGTTGCACAGTAAGTGGTAATTCAAGGCTACTGCATAAAGCTGTCGCTGAGCTGCACTGCAGCAAAACCACTTCTGTTTCATCATGCTTTTCATGGCCTTCTGGCTTTCAGAAAAAATGTGGTCTGTGCTGT